TCCGGACGCACGCACAGACGCACGTGTGGACACACGGAGGTCAAAACATAAGTCCACGTTTTCGGACTGCGTCCGAACGGGGACTAAAAAAACATGTAATGTGTATTTCATTACCAATATGGCTGCCAGTCTGCCATACTGAATCAAAACAAAAAACATGTAATGTGTATATCATTACCAATATGGCTGCCAGTCTGCCATACTGAATCAAATCACAAAATGATCATGCAAACAATTATGGCTTGCTTTTGTACTAAACGAATGATGACAAATTATTATTTTTGGTTTTGTTTTGGGGGACAAATTTGGTCACCAGCCAGTCAAAGGTCAACCCAAAGGAGAAATTGGATGTGCACATGTAGTATTTCATTACTTGTCTTTGTAACAACTTTGAATAAAATCGGTCCACACATGTCCGAGAAATGATGCCAGATAATAAATGGACAACTGGAACATAAAAAAGAAGTCCCTGTTTCGAACAAAATTGATAGAGCAGTTTCAAAGTTTTTGCTGAGAAAGAGATCGGTTCATAGTTCATAGATGTGACCACAGTAATTATTGAAATCTAGAGAGTTAAATTTCATGATGAATGTTATTACAAAATACCTTATCATTCTCTAAGTACTTTAATGTCAAAAATACAAAATAAGTGACATTGTGATCACAGTGGTTTCCATACTGTAACAAATAACTTAGTTTGACCTAGCTCTACATAAAATTATTTTCAAGCATTTAATATATGTATATCAATTTTGGCCACTGAGTGACTCTGCATGAACAACACAACATAAATATGATTTCCACTAGAATATCACTGATTACCACAGAGCAAAATAAGACACTAATGTATTTAATTTCCGTCACAGGAAGCCATATTATACATTCCCTCTAGCATTTTATAAGTATCAATCACAAAAAATGACACTTCTCATCTATCATACAATTACAGTGTCACATGTCAATTTATTCCGTGACTGATATTATGTGAATACTGCCAAGTATGCATGAATTAAGACATTGTATCAACCGATACACAGTGTACTGCATGAGTTCAGGGATGTGATTCTATTTTCATCACGTTGCAGCCTTCAATGTTACGCAAATGTCATGCTCGATTTTTTTTGTTTTTTCTACCAGACTTAGAAGGGTTTTACATAACTCCAACAGCATTAAACACAATACAGACTATTGACATCACATACAAACACTTTCCTTTAATTTGTTTACCTTTGATACAGAATTACTCCAGTGCAAGGTGGGAAGAGATTAACCTGTCACTGACTATAAATGGTAGTACAGCTGCAAATCTTGTAAAGTGATTTTGAGCTGTTATCTCCCATTAAATTATTACTGCAAGTATGGGAAAAGATATATAATAATAAGGTTATCATGCAAATCTGCTAAGTATACTGAGAAAAAGCTCACATGACCTCTGCTACACAGGGTAAAGTGATCATGGAACTGCCATCATGCGTACTTAGCAGTGATAACCTCATATTTTTCACTCACATTTGTTGATATTGCTTACGATGTTTTTGCCACTTTTCATAAATTGATCATTCCAACACTACTATATTTTAACTTGAGACAAATTGGGATTGAAAACTTGAATTCAGTGTAATTATACACATGTGTTGTAAACATCTATAGAATACTTACTGGGTTCACAGCAGCGTCACAGTGATCGATAGCTTTATGAGACACATTCATGTCACCAACAACAATTACATGTCTGAAAATGAAAGCCAAATAATGTATAGAAAATAATGCAGTCTTGTTAAGTGTTTTCCATTATAAGACTTATGATTTTTAACCAACCGATTTGACGGCACAATAAAATAAAATGACTTCATGACCGACTCCCATTAACTGTTGAATATGTAATTTTATGTAATGTCAATCTAACTAAAAAAAAAAAAAAAAGAATTTCTGCAACAAAGAAATTAGTAAATAGCATTATAGTAGAACTAATCAAAATACGTGAATATAAAGAATGAAAACAATGGCTTGCCAAATTACAACCTATTTGCACCATATATAGTAATATTTACACAATTATGCACAGACTAATGTAATATGAAATCTTAATGGAAGACATTTACTGTTCGGTTAAAAACAGTAATGACAGAAAGATTGGTAATAGCATTCAATTACTTTAAGAGAGCAGTGGTTCTAACTAAAACAGGTGAATTGGTGTAAAGTGGGTGAGTTCACTGAACGAAAATGATCACATTTTTCATAGTTGAGCACATTGGGAATGATCATTTTTTATGATCAAAAAGGTATATAAGAATGGCGAAATATTGAATCATGGCAAAATTAAAAATTCAGAATATATAATAATACTGATAAATAACAAGTCATTGCCAATGACAGAGTCCCCATCCAGTTTTTAGTGACAGTGTTAATTATAACGAAGGAAGATGTAAATAGATTATTCAGGTATTCATTATGTTAACCATGCTATGTATTGTATATAGATACACATGCGTATTACCGGGGGTATGTTATCAACAAACTGAATGCATCAGTAACTATATGTGATATATACCAAGTTTTGATTTTTCATTTTGGAAAAAACTGGCAAACAGTTCTTCAAAAGTAAACAAAACAAAAAACAAATCACAGTTGGGATTTCTACTAGGTTTTCCATTCTGACTTAAAATTGACTTTAACCAACTTTGAACAAAATTGATCAGAGCATGCCTGAGAAATGACCACTGATGGTCTAATGAACAGATTCATGCTCACTGCAAGCCCCTGTTTCAGAATTACCGATATATATATATATATATTTATTGGATTTGTCAATATTGATATTAGCGATTACAGGAGTAATATTTGCAATTCTAGGGAAAAATAAGTATTTATCATACACATACATTTATCTCAAGTGTTTTAATATCCCTTTATACTGGAAGAACTGTACAAGAAAATGATAGGAATGTACCAGCAGCACCTCAAAACCCAAACCACTTTCCAAAAAACAAAATAACATAAATTTTCCAAAAATGTGTACTCTTTAATAGACAAAGGTTTTTGTTTGTACAAAAATAAAGAAGATGTTTCTATAGAAAAATAAATCATGTATGCTAACAATAGCCATGGATACGAGTGATATACGCAATGTACCATATGTTATGATTTGTCAATGTATTTACAAAGTTTGAACAAAATCCATCCATACATGACAGAAATCTGGTCCTGAAGAGTCAGAAATTTGATTATTTTTTGGCACTAAAATGGCCACCATCTGACCATCTTATATAAATGATCAATTGATGCATTCATGACTGAGATCTGGTTCAGAAATGTTTTCATATCCAATATGTACAGGGATGCAGACATATGAACAGACACAGACAAATATAGGATTGCATATCAGGGAAAAAAGAGATAATTATTATGGAAATATTATGATTATTATGCACACAGTTCAGCCCCAAACTCACACATCAGGTCTGTGGAATATATCAGAGCACTAAGCTATATTGAAATATCCTGTCGGTTCTTGAGACTTCAGTAGAACCCAAAAAATTCAATCAGACATGCCTATCAAATATTTATGGATTGAACCAAATATGAATTATATCTGTTGATTATCCCAGAGCACCAATCCACCAAGCTTTATTAAAATCTATTGAGTGGTTCATTAAAAACAGCTAAAAAATTATCATTATGCACATTTGGTAATTAATATTCATTGATTTCAACAAAAACTAATCTTGTAGTTTGTGTGATAATTATACCACAGCATCTATGTACAAATTGAATCGTTCATTGAAATCAGATGAGTGGTTTTAGTGAAATACACAAGATGCAAATACATGTATATCAATATTCATAAACACATACAGATAAAAGAAATCACATCTTACTGCAGTTTGTACAATATTATAAAAAATGGACTTCGTAACCCAAACTGCTGCAGGGTGGCTTCACTTTTAATTTATTAAGCTATAGAATGACATGGGCTTGATACAGTTTATCTTACCTTCCAGCGGATAACAATGCTTCACATCTTGTCTGAAGCAAAGAATAAAATCTCAATTTAAAGTTTAATCTTTCTTGGTCGTCTGGTTCACAGCGAGGACAGTACACATTAATAATGACAACATCTTCATTTTTACCTGCACTGGATCTTTAAGAAAATAATGAGGTTAAATCCGGATTAAATTTCTTGTTTGGCAAGATGAAATAGTCTGTGGAGCGCTTAATACAGAATATATATACGAATAAATGTGTAATAAATAATAGTGGTCCACACATCCAGTTCAGATAATTGTTAGATAACTTTCTGGAATTCAATAACTAATATTGAATTTATAAATAAATTATAATCTGATGACATTTTTATTAGAAAAATTGAAGAAGCATTAAGAGATATAATTATATGTCACATAAAATGAAATGTAAACCTGGCATGAAGTATAAAAGCTTGGTGATCTCATTTATCTGTAGAACATTTTAAATGAGGCAATTTGATACAGTACATTTATGTTGACATTCGTTTTCAATTGAGTGTCAAAAAGAGCTGACCCTGAGAGAATCGTAAGGTGATTAAAAACCAGTGGGCTTGTTAGATTTGCAACAAATTATAACATATAGACTGCTCCCAATATTAAATTGAAGATATCAATTGAGGGAAAGTAATGATGTTTCAACTGCTTGAATACTTTACTAAAGTATAAATGAAATTATTTCCGTAAGATTGCTGAATTACTGTCAACAATAACTCTGATGCCTACTGTATTGACTTGTGGGAAAATAACAGGCACTGAAGAGTTAACTTCAAAATGAAAAGAATCACAGTATACACAGGTGAGTTGAGCACCACAATGAAGACAGCAACTACTCAAACCCTGAGAACGGTGATGTTGTCATAATGTGGAAATCATTCTAATAGAGATAATGTTATGAATATTTTGTTCTCCTCCTTTTTAGAAAAAAATAATGATTTGCAATTATCATACAAAATAGTCTGTCGTCACCATGTCAACGTGCTAGTACACGAGTGTTATACAACTAAATAATGACCGGAGCTCGACTTTGTCTACTATGTTCTAGTTAGAACCAATGGAGAGAATGACAAGTTGAAGATAAGATTGAGTGTTGAAGATAAACAGTGATAAACGTCAATCAAATACATTGAATTACATGAATGAATGTAACAGAGAGGGCTGGGAAGGGGGCAGGGGCTGGGGGGGGGGGGGGGGGCAGGGGCTGGGGAGGGGCAGTATCTTCAGCCCTTGCCCATAATTCAATACAAGGTCATGTAACAACAAATATTGTGGGGAAAATGAATATTTTGTACATGTAGACTGCCTAAGGATTTAACAGTGTGTCAGAAACAAGGTCAGAGTTCAGAAATTATGCGATAATTTATGAACAATGTCACAATGCATTCCATGACATCGTTAATGACATAGTCCCCGTTGGAATTAGGGGAAATGTTATTCATGCCAAAAAATATGGACAAAAAGCATAATTAGTAATTGAGAATGAATAATTGGTTAGTCTAGTATCAACAGAAATCAAAATATATGGTCAGAAATTAAAGTGTAAGTCAAGGCACTACCGGTACTTTTATTTTGTTTTTTTGCTTACTAATAAACATACTGATTTAAATTATGAGTGTTAAAATTTTTCATCCTTATATATGCATCTATGGCAGAGATATTATCAATAGGCAGGAAGTAATTATTTGAGTTGATAAACAACGCACACATATATGTAACATCCGGGTACTTTTAAAGACACTGTGACGTGTTATCGTCTGAATATCTAAGATTTGATTGAAAAGTGTGTTTGTGCAGTGTGAAAAAAACATGAGTTTGGGTTAGGACCCAACTCACTACAAATCTCTTGTTTTTGCGTCACTCAAATCTAGGTGTGTCAGGGAAAAGTGAAAGGCCTTAATTTAGTTGTAAAATAGGCGTCACAAACTTGTTAAAAATTAGTCGATCAAAAAAAAAAATTTCACAAGATGACAAAAATAAAATATTTTTTCAGTTTTGTTGGTAACGTAAAGTATATTTTATAAGAAGTTTCAAATAAAAACAAACAAGAGTTGCTTAGTAGCAAATGCTCACGGTAGCACAATCTGGTCATGCTACATTTCACAAGTAAATACCTTACTTGGTTTTGAAGTGTTGAAATTGATTATTGCTTAGTAGTTATTATATTAATGTACAGAAAATAAATTTGTTGAATTGTTATGAAATGCAACAATTTGGGTCATATGTAAACGCCCGATACAATACGATATCTGCCATGTTTTTCGATATACGAGTAGACCTGATAGGTCAAGTTGCTAATTAACCAATCAAAATATGCTGGATTGTGCCGTGTTCAAATTACCATAGCTCCTTTAAATATGTTAATGACAGTTCAGCAACTTAATGGCAAACGCCACACAAAATAAATTTACCGATGTTATAGTATGATCTTTTGGCTTTGAAATTGATGGGAAAACAGCTTTATTTTTTTTGAAATAAAAAAAATAGTTGTTTTCAAAAGTTAAATTGAGCATTGAAGAAATTTGTTTTGCCGTGATAACAGCTCATTGTCGAAAAGAGGTTTAACCCAACATGCTAGCCACAGTGAACCATACTCTTGAATAAGCGTCAATAACTATTGGGAAAACCTCAATTACAATTAAAATTAGTGTCAGGAAAGATTTAAATATTTGAAAATGACGCCTACATTGTAACTTAGAGATTTTACTGAAAATGAATTAATTAGCCCGAATAAGTCAAATACAAATTCTGTCTTAATGTTTGCCTCCCATACAAGACCTTCTTTTTTAGGACAAAAAGTGAAAAACAGTTATCGTTTGCACACACATAATATTTGAAGGTCGGCATCTCTCTGGAACATAGCTTTGCACAGTAACCGTGAATAAATTCAATGGGTGCCACAGTTCGCTGGCAGTGAGCAAGAATTTTGACTCTCCAATGTTGTCATGGATTAATCCATAGACCCTCTAACAGAGGGTCTATGATTAATCCAATGAGATTATGTCACGGTGCTACACTTAAATTGTCAGTCATAGTCACATGGCGGTGTATGTAGCCTTAGGGAGGCATGTATTAAAACCCTTAGAATTCAACACACGCAATTTTCGACAACAAACACATTTTAATTAACAGCACATACACATAATATTAGACAACTATAAAAATTCATTTACCTTCCCTTTAAACAGGATATGCTATTCATTTTTTGTATCCAAACTGAATTTCATTTGTACAGGCTCATGTACAGAGATAAATAGTAGGCAGTCAACCATCTTTGATCTGATTGTGAAATTAATTGTCATGGACATGTATCATAACATGTATAATTTGAAGAGAGAAAAAAACAAGTCAGTGATACATTTTGAAAAAACAAGATGGATGCCATGTGGTCATTTTGGATTCAAACATGAAACAAATCACCATGGACATGCATCTCAACATGTCGAATGTTTGTAACAAATTTGAACAAAAACCAACAAATCCTGTCCAAGATACCATATTTGCCGATGCCAGGATGCCAGTCGGCCATCGTTGATCTGATTATAAACCAAACTGACATATGGACATATATTCCAGCATGCATGATGTATATGTGCCAAATATGTTAAAACTACAAAGTGTAAAATTAGACCACAAAAATGCACAATATGGAATATCACAAAATACAGAAAATAAATGACATTTAACAGCTAAGGACGCAAATTTAAAATCGCGAATAATCGCGTTGCCTCTCGCATAAAAGAGACGAGATTTGGCCTGAATGTCAACGTTGTCATTAAGGTCACTAGTGATCAAGTGTCCCAGATATTTATATACAGTGACGTAATCAAGTAGTCTACCACTTAAATAAATTGACACATTCCTTAACCTTTGAAAACGAGGCTGAATTAACATACATAAGGTTTTTTCTCATTAAAAAAGATAGAGTTAAGTTTGCCATACTGTCCGCAAGTATCAACTAGTAATTGTTGACCATACGCTCCTGTGCTGAATACTACAATATC